TACCAATTCATTATAAGGCCACAGAATTTAAAAAAAAAAAAAACTAGCACAAGAACTAGACAACCCAAGTGCAAACCTTATCATAGAATATGAGACTTTTCCATCAAAAGCCCAGTAGTTCATGATCCTCTTTGTGACTGGGTACAAAGATATATATTCTTGTAATGAAAAAGACTAGTAATGTTTTAGTAGAAGGATATGGAGATAACAAACAGTATTCAATCTCAAAATCCATAAAAAAATACAAAATAAGAGCAGAGCAAACATGGACCCCCAAATCATCAGAGGTGGTATCAGGTGTCATAGAGGAGTGAGCATCCCCTGTCGATCGGTCACACTCGCCGTGTGCTCCTTGTCATGATCAGGAAATAACGGAAAAAATCCGTTGTTAATTCAGTGTATAAATAATGGACTAACAATTGGTATGAAAAACGTCAGTCAGCATTTGACTCAATGATAAATTGTATTTGCTGACAAGATCATTGTATCGACCAAAGAACATAGAAGACTGCTGATATTCTTGTTTCATCAACTTGCTTGTCAAAAATTTAACTCGTTTTAGAAATTGTTCATACGTAGAACATGCTCTTGTGTATCGAATCAACTGAGATATATATACTCCATATGCAGGTGATGAAGGTATATTGCTGCATAAGTAAGGGAAGTTGACGATAGAAAAGTTAAAGTCAGCACGTCCATCATACAGCTTAGCTATTAGATTACCATTAGTGTCTTTTTCAAGTGAAATATCTAAGTATGAAGCAGAAGTGTTAGACTCTGTGGTATCTTTTCTCTCAAGCTCACCAGGATATATCGTATCGACGTAGGAATGGAAATTATCATTATTAATTGATAATACGTCCTCCATATAACTAAATGTCGAGTTGAAGGACACAGCAAGTGTTTCTTCTTTTCACGCACAAGATTTAGCATAAATTCTGCTTCATATGAATATAAAAATAAGTTTGCTAATAACGGAGCGCAATTTGTACCCATGGGAATTCCAATAGATTGTTGGAATACCTAAATTGACCTTTGATTTTCTTTGGAACAATACCAGTTGGGGAAAATTGAAATTTTCAAAGGAGGGGGTGAAACAAAAAAGTCCAGAAATTTTATGAACGTAAGCTCTTTCTGTAGCTTGATGCAAACAATGACTGGGTTATGTAAAGCAGACATGAGATACTCATATGGTCCGAAAGATCTTGCACCCTGATTATGTAAATCAAATCCATACTTAAATTCTGAAACCAGATATCATAAATAATGACATCATAGCTTATGAATAAATATTTAAGGACATTGGGGATAATAGGGGTAAAAACATAACTGCATTACCTAAGGAATAATGTCAATTATTTGTGCTTTGAAATTGTTCCCACACTCTACACAAAAGCATTGAAATGTGCAGTTTTCAAGCTTGCATAGCTCTTCCCTAGTACATGGCTAGCAATTTTCTATGGAGATTTGCTCTATCCTTTTTTTGAAAGTCTTAGTCTAAACCTTGATCAGAAGAGGGAGGGGAAAGGCTCTGTAGTTTCCTCTCTAGATCCCTGTGCCTGAAGACAAATTACACACTAACCTTTTCCTAAGACATACCCATAACCTGTCTATACATCCTAATTTGCTTATCACAGTTTGTCATGGTTTACTTCTAGATGATGTCATATCATGACTTGTCTCTGCATGATTTAAACAAAATTGTGTTTCATTTGGGAATTTTCCAGTATAGACAGAAATCAAATGCAAAAATTGCTGTGTTCCGCTGAAATATATTGTTAATTGTTTGCTCTGTATTTCTGGGTGCTACTGAAATGTTAGAGTTAAAATTCTGTCAGACTTTCAATGTGTACCCATTATTTTTGGTGGTAGGTACAAGACTTTTAAAAAGGTGGTGCTCAAAGTCAATATATTGCTCTTCCTAAATCTTTTGTTAAAACGTTTATGGAATCAGTGCCGAAATAAAAATTGATCACTGAAGAAGTATTCACTGGTACGAGTTTCAGTCCCAGTTTTTTTTTTTTTTAAAACTTTACCAATCTTTCTGTGTTAAATCATAAACAAGTCCACAGTAATGAAATTTACAACTGAAAATGCAATGTTGGTTAATGATTAAAAGCTTTGACCGAAATATATGCTACAAGCTCTGATTCATTCAGTATAGTTATTATCATTGTATATCTATTTGTACCTATCTCTTAAAAAGAGAGGTACATTCTACTACAAGTATACGAGTCACTATGTTCTAACCTTACCATCCATCAAGGATGAATAAATGTACAAAACCATCAGTGGACCAAAAAAAAAAAAGGTCTACAAATTATTGTGCTCATACAAAAGCAATAAATCTACCTAACCTGACAGGCCTAATCTAGCTATGTATATCAAACCATACAGGATATGTCAAATAAATTGTCTAAACATAGAGGACAAACTAGGCTATCCAAACCTAAAAGATACAGTTATAAGCATATTAAACCATGTCAAACACATTGTCTAACTACACAAGACAAACCTGGTTATCCAAATAAGGCAAACATACACCTGAGTATATGTAAATATTAAGCATGTCCAACCAAGCAGGACATGTCAAACAGAGTGTCGAACATACAGGACAAATTTGGTAAATATTTGGTAAACGATAAAGATATCTGTGTGTGTAAGCATATCTAATCATACAAGATATGTCAAAAAAAGTGTCCAACCATACTGAACAACTTCTTTATCCAACCATTCATGATCAATAAATATTAGCATAACCAACCCTACTGGATATGTCAAATAATTTTCCAACCATACAAGACAACTTGTTTATAAATCAAACTATACAGGATTAATCCTGGATATATATACACCCATTCTCTATACCAGCATATCCAAACATACAGGATATGTCAAATAAATTATCCAACCATACAGGATAAACTCGGTAAATTTGTAAACTACATTTTCGGAGCTCAAAGTTATTTTGATAAGGATAAGGCTAATTGCCGTAACTAGAGGGCGCTTAAATATAAAATCCGGAAAATCCCTTCGGGACCCATGAATTCACACAAAATAGTGATTAATAAAAATACGCAATTTTGTACGCATTAAGATCACATAAATTCCTTTATATACATAAATACACTTATGTATCTTAATGTAGTCTACTTATGTGCCAAATTATATTGAAATCAAACCAAAACTGTAGGAGGAATAGCATTTTAAAGTATTCCTAACATATTTCTATGTTTAGTAACCATAGCAACATCTTTCACTGAAATCAATAATGATGCAGAAAGTTATGTTTCTTGGTGTACTTTACTTCTGTGCCAAGATTTATTGAAATAAGATTAGATCTGTGAAACAAGTAGCGTTTTAAAAGGATTTTCATAGAAATTATAATTTTGAAAGTATTCTTTTTTAAAAAAAAATCTTTGTTTAGTAACCATGGCAACACCATCGGTTATGTCTCTGACCAGTAGAGCTAAAAATTATAGAAAAGATAAAATCACATCTGGATTGATAAAATTGAAAAAAAACAAGGATTTCCAGTATAAACTGTCAGTAATTTTAAGTACTAAATTGTACAAGTAGATCATTATACGTATTAACATTAAAAGAAGTCTTTTCATCATATAACTTGAATCTTGAAACCATGAAATATGTGGAAATAACAAACAGTATTCAAGTTCAAAATCCATTCAACAATACAAGCAGAGCAAACGAGGGCACACATCAAAAGTGGGATCAGGTACCATGGAGGAGTGAGCATCCCTGCCGACCAGTCACACCCGTCGTGTGCATTGCCATTTTCGGGAAATAACAGGAAAATCAGTCAACAATTCAGTGTGTATATAATGACCTAACAATTGGAATGAAAAACGTCAGTCAGTATTTGACTTAATGATAAACTGTATTTGCTGATATGGTCTTCGTATCGACCATAGAACCTACAAAATGGTGATTTAAACGAGACTACATGTACTGATATTCCTGTTTCAGCAACTTGTTTCTCAATAACTTACCTCGTTTAAATTTTATTCATACGTTGAGCATGCTCTTGTGTATCGAATTATCTGAGAGATAGTAAACCCATATGCAGATGATGAAGGTTTATTGCTGCATAAGTAAGGGAATTTAACGATTGAAATGTTAAAGTCATCTCATTTGCCGTTAAGTTTGGTTGTTAGATTACCACTAACGTCTTTTTCAAGTAAAATATATAAATATAAAGCAGACTCTTGGGTATCTTTTACTCCAAGCTCTCCGAGATATATTGTATCGACATAAGAATGGAAATAATCACTGTTAATTGACAATACGAAATACTAATGTCGAGTAGGTATCCATGGGAATTCCAACAGACGGTTGGAAAACCTGGTCTCCAAAAAATCACATCTATTAGATATTTTCAATTATAAGCTCAAGCATTTTTTTAAAATCAACTTCAGAGTACTTGTGTGTACAATCAGAATGTTTATAAAAAATAATTTTGCAAATGACCAATGACAAGGTGAGTAAATTTACGAGTTCCGTTTTTGTTGAAAAAGCAACTGTCAATGATATCAACAAGCATGGCTTTTATTTTATCGTGGGGAATGGTTGTATATAAAGTTTAAAAGTCGTAGATTTAATGAATATTAAACGAATATACTGTTGCACAAAACTCCTGAAGTATTTCCTTTACTACTTTTAATATTTTAGTGAGGAGTAAAGAAAGAGGCTTGATTGAACATTTACTGGAAACCGCTATGTATCTTCTGGTTGTTAGGAATATTAAAAATAATCAAAACTGACATATTATTTTGAAGAATTCATAGAAGAAACCATAAAAATATATATCTGAAACATAGACAGACCCTGTAATTGATAACTCTATTTGACAAAATTGTTTTTCATGTCTTTATTTTCAAAAATAAAATTCAGTAAATCATATACTAAAATATTTTTATCTTTGAAACAAGATGAATTATTTGAAATTAAAACCACACCATTTTCGGTAAAAAAAAAAAAACAATCATAATTAACGAACATTCAAGATATTTCTTTTGAATTGTGACCATAAAATTGGGAAATCGCTAATTACAATGAGACCAAAAAAACAAATTAAAACCCCAGCCCCTATCACAGTCCCTAAGTTCTGAGCCGACGGACGAGAATCAGGCACACTTATCTTTTTTCGCAATGCTTTAGAAGTCTTCTTTCTGCTAATTGTCAAATTGGTTTTCAGCTCTGCTATTCTTTGTATCAGCTTCTCTGTCTCATTTGCCTGTATAGGAATAGATCCAACCACCGAACACGGGCACTGACATCCTAAAATTGACATCGTTGATTTAAAGCGTTATTAATGCCCACACCTCATTATTCCATTCATTCATTTAAGCACGAGTAATTATCTTTACCGACATAAGTAAACCGCGATATTTGTTGATATAACTCTATCATTGAATCTGATGGAATGTTTTTAAATCCACTTTCAAAATTATAAAAAGCTCCTACATGTACTTGCTAATTTATTTCAACAGTTTGTGTTTTCTGCTCAAATAGGTGTAAACTGAAACTTCAATCAACTACACAATTTCGGGTACATGTACACTTTTCTGATATTACTGATATTATTCGGTAAAATTTACTGATAAATATACAATATGGAAAAGTGATTATTACCCTGATAAGGAGTAGGGTTTATAAAGTGTAAGTATCTTTATTGTATATTACATATAAATTTATATTCATTTAATATACCGGTATCTTGAAGTTTGGCAATAAACTATATACCAAAAAAATAATCAACGCTTAAAATTACCGGGTTTTATCACCGATGTGATAATTATGTCGACTTCATCTGTCATTTGACTTTTGTAGCCCCAGCCCCATATTTCCCCTAATAAGAAAACCGCAGTCCCCCTCTGGTTTATTTTGTTCGGGTGTGGGATCCAGATACCAAGAGTTGTATCGTTGTATCCGTACACCAGTCCTCCATAAGGATCTCTCTCATTCATAACGGAACCAACTCCATCAAACCGGAAGTTCTTGTTTGGCCCTTCAAGCACTTCAACCTTAAAACATTAATATTGTTTCTTCAAGACTTAAGTTATCCTATTCCTTGCAAAATGTTTCTTTTTTGTGACTCTCTAAAATTGCTTAATTTTATATCTCCTTTGCCATTTTGAAGTAAATCAATAATTAGTGTTCCTGTTTTATACTAAAATGCGACATGTCTGGAAAAGAACAATGTGTAATTATCTTATATGTCGCATGTATTGTGACTTATAGATATTTTAATGAAATATGCATAGGGGCAATGTTTGAGCATTTTACTTATAATTCTTAATAAAGCAATTTTCTTCAGAAATGGAAACACTAGGAATTAACAGGAGTACATGTACCTGAACAAGAAGAAACTCTTCTGATGTCAAGGTTTTTGGCATAGATAAACTGTAGCCATGATTTTGGAGATCTGCAAGTTTCAATCTTTTGGTTATTTGTTGTGGACTAGTGGTCAATTTCCATACAAAGACTGTAATATTTCCCGTTGATTCTTGCTTGAAACCTCTCTTGCCCCATCCGTCAGCAACAGAAAACAATTTAGCAGCTAAATTTAAAGACAAACTACATTTTTGAAAACAACTTTGGACTAGTTTTAAAAATTTGCTTTATCTCAAAAAGTCTACAAATAAGTTGAATACAAATCTATGGAAGGGCATAAAAAGGACTTCTGAATATTCCAGAGGTGTGATCCGCTCCTATAGAGAAGAAAGCAGAAACTACCCCCCTGTCGACAGTAGCACCCATTGTAAGCCTTCTGCATTGATCAGCTTGACGGATTAATCTCATGTCAAATTTAGAAAAATAAATTGTTGTCGAGTGACATTTGTCATGAAAAGTTTTGTTTAGTAAGTAAAACTGATAATTTCATTCCACTTAATTACAAATTGTATTCAGCTTAATTATATGAAGCTTAAGATGACTTTAAAAATTAACACATGTAACTGCAGATTAAGTCTTATGCAATTATCGTGGTATATATTGTTCAAAAATTCGCACTTTGTCAGAATTGTCTTGCAAAAAAATACTAAGAGTGAAGAGAAAGCATTTCAAAAAAATTAGTAAACATGCTTGTACAATCACAGATAATTAGATTAATTGAATTAATTTGATGAAAGAAATGTAAATGTGACAGTTTTACTATTTCCTAGCTAAACTTTACCATTATATTGTCCATTTACATTACAGGCTGACCATAACCGAATATGAGTCTCGCTAACACCATATAAAACACCACCAAAGTGTTGAAAATTTTAAAAGTAATACAAGGAGAAGGCTGCAAGTTAATAACGTGCTTGTACAGTAAATCAAGCAATTGCTTCTACAATCATAGATAATTAGATAAATATAATTTATACAAATGTATCAATGATTTCATTCTTATTTTAAATTTAGTCATTACAGTAATGGATATGAGTCTACACCAGAGAGAGAGAGAGAGAGAGATATTTAGAGCAACTGCAAGCGATGAAAGTCCTATAAAAATTTGAAATTTTTGAGAGATATCCTAAAACACAGGGCTACTAATCAAAGAAGACTGCAATACATGGACCATACCCTTAACATGTATTTCTTACAATGTTTTTTAATCGAAGTCTTAATTGACCTTATTCAATTTTTTAACATAAAGGCAAGGTTTAGTAGCAACAACAAATTGATATTTTCTATGCCACTCTCTTTACCATTTGTTCATGTATTGCGTCTTTGGGAGTAACGAATTATAACGACATTGCATAGAGGTCCAATCGCGTCATCAAAACAACTGTGACATTTAACACAAGGTTAAACTAAAGATGTAATACAAATTTCAAGCATGAAAAACTAAATTATTCTTTATACGCACCTTGACCTTGAAAAGTCCCGATAGGCGTGTTGATCTGAGCGACGACTAAGTCTGGATACCTCAGAAGGGAGTGTTCGAGTGTTGTATTGATGCACTCACCTGAAAATGGCCATACATAAACACAGGAGTATACAAAGGTGACAATGATTCTAGAGCAATCTCCAATGGGTAGTTTTATTTTTACCTCTCCGAACAGAAATAGTTCCACTTTTCCACGAGGGTGGAGGCATATTACTTGACTTCCAAGCCCTAGCACGTACATGAATGGACACGTACTCTCTTTTTATCCCGTCCGGCCCAATCCATTTATATGGATTTCCTGTTGGTATTTACATTTCATAACATACATGATATAAAAAAAATGTTTAAAATTAATAAATACATACATTAATTATAAAGTTATTTGAAAAAAAATCAAATGCTTTACAGCAAGATATTTTGAATCTATGATTAGTTTTCAAGACCCTATTCTAAATAAGATCGGACTGACCTTGTTTATTGTCCTTTAATGTCAGTGTAAACTTTTACAATTCGTAGTATCTTTTTTGGCGTATACATTACATAATTATATTGTCAGATACAAAAGAATATTTTTATTTATTCTAGATGATACTTAATGAATTATTTGTTGACACTTTCTTTACACTTTTTGAACACAGTATAAAAAGTGATTAAAATCAATTTTGAATGTAAATGTACTTGTGAATAATAATTCAGCAGCAGACCTATGTAGTGAGCTGTCCATTTTTTTCGTCCTTTTTTATTGTTGTTCCAGTGAGGGACATATATTTGAATACTTATTTTATCGTATATAAAGACCACTCCTCCATAAAGATCTCCAGAGTCATCGTCTGTCTGTGCGGATCCAAAACCTGGAAAGATCCACCCCTCATCTGTCTTAGCCTCTACCTTGACAAGGAGTGGGAGCTCTCCTAGCATGTGTCGTATATTAATGAATGCAGTGGATGTGTTAGCAGTCATGCTTATCCAGTCACTGAGGAAGCTTGGTGCAGGATCCTGATGAAATGCATCTAAGTAGAAATCAAAGTACTGAAAGAACTGAAAGCCGGGCATTTTATTGCTCCACCACATTCTCTATTCCGAAATTATATATCATATGCATAAAATATAATTATATATTATAAATATATTCGAAAATCTTCCTTTCCGGCCATTGAAATTTATTAAGCAGAGTTTGTATGATTATGATTCACAATAACCCATCTACGTGTAATTTAAATTGATAGCCCAGAATGCAATATTTAGGACTGGACTTGATAACAATTTTAATGAAAATACCTTTCTGGACATCAGCTCACGTTTGATATGCAAGGTGGCAGTGTACACACTATTCAAATACGACCACTATTTAAATAATTATTTCAATAGTGGTTGAGAGTGCATTTCAATAACAAACATAGGTTGCAATCACTACTGAAATATGACCACTATTGAAATACTTATTTCAATAGTGGTTGATGGTGCATTTCAATAAAAAACATAGATTGCAACCACTATTGAAATACGACCACCATTGAAATACTTATTTCAATAGTGGTTGAGAGTGCATTTCAATAACAAAATATAAGTTGCATCCACTGTTGAAATACGACCACTTATTTCATTAGTAAACATTATTAGTGGTTGCAACATATGTTTGTTATTGAAATGCACTCTCAACCGCTATTGAAATACTGAAATGCACTCTCAACCACTATTGAAATTATTATTTCAATAGTGGTTGCAACATGGGATCTTTCACACATTATTTTTTACAATTGAAAATGTACAATGACGTTTGTATTGACAGATTCTTCACCTTCAAAAATTTAAAGCAATTAATATAAGCTGCAACTTTGATGTCAGAATTGTTGGTGCAATATTTCAAGAACAGAGAAAAGGAATATTTATAATCTTCTGTTGTTCATCTTAGCGATGGAGGAACTATTTATGAGCTATGATGGAAGCAAAATTAAATTTTTGTCGTCCTGTACATTATTGAGTTGATATAGATTGATTGATTGATTGTACATTGTTTAACGTCCCTCTCGAGAATTTTTCATTCATATGGAGACGTCACCGTATGCCGTGAAGGGCTTCAAATTTAGACATATACTCGGCACTCAGGGCCATTGAGCAGTGAGGGTTCTTTATCGTGCCAGCGCCTACCGTGACACGAGACTTACGTTTTTAAGGTCATATCCGAAAGACCCGTGACTTTCACTTCTAGTGCCGAGCGCTTGGCGAAGGAACAGTCACTACCTTTGCTTACGTCTTAGGTATGACGCGGCGCCGCAAACGAGAATCGAACCCGGGCCTCCCGATCACGAAGCGAACGCTCTACCACTAGGCTACCGTGACCGGTTGATTTAATATAGAATAATGCTCTATAAATGATTGTACAGAAGTCTTTTTTCTTAAACAATTTATTTATTTTAGTCTAATTGAACATAAAGGTTTTAATTACACAAAAAATTATTACATTTAAACAGCAACTTGAAATCTTAAAAATGCAGATCACATTGCTTTGAACAAGGTTTTTATTTACTCTTCCTGAATTTACCAGGAACATGTATTTGTCACAAGCAAATAACGAATTTACTGCAAAATGAATGGTTTTATTTTAATTGTCTAATCTTAATTGTTCTCTATTGGAATGTATGTACAGGCTAAATTAACGTAAAACGTCCTGGAAGCACAAACGAGATATCTCCAGAAAACATACTATTTAACTTTCGTCAAAAAATTGACTTGGCTTTTCCAATTTTAATTTTGGTACATGTAATTCCAACTTTATTCTTGCCTTTTCCAACTTTAATTTTGGTAATTCCAAATTTAATCTTGGCTTTTCCAACTTTAAAGTTTGGTTACTCCAACTTCAATTTTGGCTGTTCAACTTTAAAGCTGGTAATTCCAACTTTAAAGTTAGAAATTCCAACTTTAATCTTGGTATTCCAACTTTAAAGTTTAAAGTTGTTAAATCCAAAGAGCTCGATTCACTTTATGCATAAAATGGCCCTGTAGATCTACCAATTGATTGATTAACACTTGAACTTCCATTTGGAACATTAAAATAAAAAAGAGCCTGAATTTTAAGATAAACGGGTATATTTGAGTACTTTTGGTGAAGAAAAATAATATGAGCACACTCTCTGATTTATAAAAAATAAAACATGTCTTTTAATCCTCAGAAAGAGTTCTATCATTTACTATTTATATATTTTACTTTAAAATATATTTTATTCTTAAAGAAATGGATTGAACAGCAGGCATAAATGCCTATGATCGTTCTCTCCATAGGTCAAGGTACAATTACAAGTACATGTAAACATTGAAAAAATGTATGAAGAGTAGATTATCAGTTGGTACATATCTAGAATAAATTCAGAGAGAGAGAGAGAGAGAGAGAGAGAGAGAGAGAGAGAGAGAGAATGAATAGAAAATATAATTTAACAAATGGATAGGAAAAATAATAATTATATTATCAAATATAAACAACAAAAAAGGGAAAAAAAACCAAAAAAAAAACATCAAAGAAACAAAAAACAGAAACATATGTTTGAGCAATTGTTGTTGACCCAGAGTAAGAAGAATTCCCTAACAGAGCAGTTTACCTAAAATAATATATTTCCCATAGAATATCATAATAAACTAAAATTTCAATAAAAACCTCTTGAAGGTTCTTATAAAGGTATGTACATGATCAAAAAATGAAAAAAAATTATCCAGAGTTAGTGAGTCTACACCATATAATATGTTTTCTATATTAATTGGTATGTTATTTTCATTCATGTATTTAATCAGTAATTGTCGTTGTGAGGCATATTGTTGACAATGCAAGAAAAAATGCAGTGAGTTCTCGTTTTGATATCCACAATTTGTACATGTTGATGATTCGTTTAAGTGATCTTTGAAAAGATCAGCATTAAGGTTACTACATTTATTCCTTAACTGGCAGTGTATTATGTTTTCAATTCTATTACCATAATTGTAAAGTTTATATCTATTTTTCTGGATAGGAGTGGAAGAGTTTAATTTATTTTTAAAAGTTTGTAATGTAGGGGAGTTTTTACAATCATCAGATAAGTTTTTCCACAAGGATATTGTGGATGGTACAAAGCTATTGTAGTATGACACTGTTCTAATGATTGGGATTCGATATAAATTAGGGTTGCGCAAATTATAATTATGCTGGATTGGCATACATCCTTCTAGCATATTATTCAAATAATCAGGGGTAAGATTATTAAGTATTTTATACATCAATGTGAGCTTATGATTTTCCCTTCTTGAACTTAAAGTGTCCCATCCCAACTCTTTATATAAATTACTTTTTGATGTATTACACCTAATGCCTGTAATTATTTTTGCAGCTTCCACCTGCACACTCTCCAATAATTTAAATTGTTCTTCAGTGCAATTATCCCATACCACATCCCCATATTCTACAACTGGTCGAACAAATGATAGGTATATTTTGATTAAGGAGTCTCTCTTTAATTTATATTTTAGTGTGCGCAGTATATTTAGTCTTAGGCAAGCTTTTTCATAAATTGTTGCGATATGTTCTGACCAACCCCCATTAGACTGAAGTGTCAATCCGAGGTGACAATGACTTTGATGTTGGGAAATAATATTCATTGTGTTTCCAAATGTAATATTTGGATGTACTCGTTGAGTTCTAGTAAAATTGACATTAATAGTTTTATTAGGATTGAATTCAACTAGCCATTGATGGGACCACTGCCTTATTTTTTGTATATTTTGTATATTTTAGATCAGAGGTTGCGCTCTATATTAAATATCGAAAAATAGCTTTGAAAATTGGCCGTTTTTGTAGACTTTTACAGAATATGAGGAAATTGACACATTTCGTGACGTCATAATGCATTTTTTTTTTATAGATACGCAATAGTCTAATCCACACTTTGCAAAAATTGTGTCCCTTTGAGGGATCAACCAAAACGTCAATAGGGAAAGAAACGTCATTTTTCCTCTTTATGCTACCAAATATTTGGGCGTGCTCTGATAAATCCATTTTGTTTTGATATTTTTCTTTCAATGTGTGGGTAGCCCCATCTTTGGGCAATCAGTACACAAAAGGCAGAGCTTTTTTCAAGTCAAATGACAAAGTTACAAACCTGAAAACAACAAAGGCTTCAGTGAGGATTTTATGGGTTTATTTCTATAACTTTCGAAAAGTGTGGATTTAGTCTAAGTGTTATTCAATGCATTGTTAACTAAAACTAAGCAGTTTCAGTTTTAAAGACAATCACAGGAGCAAAACATGGACTTTGTTATAATAATCATATAGGAGGGTAGGGTATCATTAAAGTGAGGTCAGTGTTCACAGTACCCCTAGTTTCTCTTTATCCTTTGGAAATACAAATAACCTATTGGTAAGCAATGAATTTAACTTTCCTTAGGCATGCCAATGGGTAATGTTTGGGAGGTATATTATTTAATTTAGAATGAATTGAATGGGTATCGTTAAGGTGTTCGGAACTCGTCGGCTTATTGGTAACTGGTAAAATGGACACCTGTGTTAATTTTCGAAATAATTTTTTTTTCGGGGGAAGGCTGAATTTTATGAAACAATATTTAATTCCACAAGTCATTGAAGTACCTTGACAAAAACTTAGATTTTAAAATGATGCCTCGTATATTTATAACACCGCCGAAAATCCGTTTTTTATTCGGAACTGGTCAAATAACTGTATTAGTTGCATGCAAAGATTAGAGTAAAATTTAGATATTTAATTCTTTGTCAATTTACCGGGGCCGTATGTCACGTTATCCTTTCTGCACCTTTAAGATGACTTTTGCATTGTTGGACAAAAGATTTTAATCATTAATTTGCCATCGGTGAAATAAAAAGTACAATTGATTAAAATGCAAAGACACTTTATTGATATTATCTGTTTATCTACATTCTAAGTAATCAATATTTCCTTTATTTTCATTTCCTTTATAATTCCACTGTTTGAATTAGAATTACAGTTACTGGCATTGAAAATGTCTAATTTTTGTATCGGTATAATAAAAAAGTTAAAGAATATCATTGAGGGAGTCAGTAGATTCCAGTTCCCCTCGAGCAAGCCTATTTCCCTAAGCTGGGCCTCGAGAAATAGACTCGCTCTTGGGGAGCTGGAATCTTGCTGACTCTCTCAATGGTATACTTTAATTGTCTCCCGCTTCCGCGAAAGCCAGGGGACATTAAATCTTATTCGTCTGTTTGTCAGTCTGTCTGTCTGTCCGTCCATCACAAAAACTTTACTCTTGCCCATAACTTTTGATTAAGCGGATCTATGACTTTCATATGTCACATGTGTATTTCTTGTGACAAGACCTTTTTTGGGGTATTACCAAATTTGCATTATTAAATAAAAGATTTTAATCATTGAAATAAAAAGTACATTTGCATATATGCTCAACAGTCGTGTAATGCCTTCAAAATATAATCAAGAAACCAGTTGGATGCCAGATCAGCGTACATTAAACAATGCCACAAAGAGGTGTTTAAAATTGATGGCTTTTTAAAATAATAAAAACGATGTACTCAATCCATACACAGCTATATAATCATTTTGGTCAAATGCACAATCAAAGATTGAAAAAAATCATTCAGGAAATATGAATAAAAATCATATATTATTAAGGTATGTCACTCCTCAAATTTCTTATATCAAGGATTTCATGAAATGTTGTTTATGACATTCCATAACATCCACTTATGCAATTTTGAAGAAAAAAAATATAGGTCAGTGATATAAATTTTTAACTGGGGCCCTCAGAAGGGGGATATACGAAAAAACGTGATTTCTGTTACTAAAAATAGCATGTTTTAAAAATTGTGGATTTTTTCAAAAGAGAAATATAGTATAAATTAGTAATTATACCATGAAGACAGAGTCATGATATGTTTATTTAAATTCTGTATTTAAAATGTTCTGTTGCCATGGTAACAAATAATGACCATCCTCCAATTTTTGAGAAAACAAGCCATGAATGGGCCAAAAATAAGCAATTTTTAACTGAAAAATACCCGGTTTTCGAATATCAAGGATTTTTTTAAATACCCATACAGTGTTAGTACTTATCCCTTTCTTCCTATTGCAAAAGAAAAAAATATAGGTCAGTGATCATCTAAGAAGGATATATGAGGTCAAAGGTCACCCAAAATGTGATTTTGCCCGTGTATTCCTGACTCTATTCAAAGTTCATTGTAACTGTGTTTTTTGGAATAAACCAGGTTATTTCAAGTATGAGTCAATGTATAACATAATAAAGAATGGCATTTTTCTCAAACTCCAAGGTTTAAAAATGGTTGCCATGGTTACCAATAATGATCTTTTGGTCCAATTTTTTGAGAAAACCTGTCATGAATGGGCCAAAAATAAGCAATTTTTAACTGAAAAATACCCGGTTTTCGAATATCAAGGATTTTTTTAGATACCCATACAGTGTTAGTACTTATCCCCTTCTTCCTATTGCAAAAGAAAAAAATATAGGTCAGTGATCATCTAAGAAGGATATATGAGGTCAAAGGTCACCCAAAATGTGATTTTGCCCGTGTATTCCTGACTCTATTCAAAGTTCATTGTAACTGTGTTTTTTGGAATAAACCAGGTTAATCAAATATGAATCAATGTATAACATAATAAAGAATGGCATTTTTCTCAAATTCCAAGATTTTAAAAAATGGTTGCCATGGTAACCAAGGACAGTAAGTTGATTGATAAAATTCATGTAAGAGGAAAATATCAATACTGTAGCATTTATAAAAAGGTGACTGGGATTTGAAAAGCAAGTGTTCAATGAGAGACACTTCCTTGTATTTAATATATCTGCCTTGACTCAGCACAAATAAAAAATATAGGTCAGTGATTATTTAAGAAAAATGAAGTCAAAGGTCACAGAAAATGCTGTTTGCAGCTATTGTACTTGAGACTCAAAACAAAGTCCATTTGTAATTGCATGTGTTTCAGAATAAAATGTGCATTTCAATTCATACATTGATATATTTATAACCAATATAAACCATGACCAGGAATATTTGGATTACATTCCAATATTATTTATAATATTAGTTTCCATAATGGTTCAATATCTTCTAATCTGTCCTTTACCTTTTATTTCAACTAGAACTGTCCAAAAAAAAGAGACTGGGTTTTTCAAGAAGGTGCCAATTCATAGATACTTAATGGATCTTGATGTTCACTATTTACTTATAAAAATTTAATATAAGTGTCATTATGTTTTTTAATGAGTCAAACAAAAGTGCAACCAAATGAAACATCAATAACTAATACATTGTAATTCAATCATAAAAAATTTTTTTTAATTCTGCATTAAAGAAATATATTATTTTTATGTGTCATGACACTCTGCAAACTAATAGTTGAACAAAAAAATCATTATACAAAATCAAATTAATCTTGATTTATCAAATTCATTTTGAAAATAAAAAGCTGGTCATCCAGTAATGAAGTGCTTTTACAGACAATAAATTACAATTAAGAGAATCAAAGAGAGATCTTTAATTTCTTGTGCCTTATTTTGGATTTGATAACACACACACGCTTGATAAGAGATTGCCTTAACAACCTCAACACCAAACTCATTAATTTATCTTTAACTGGATGCATGTGACCATTATTTAAAGAGACAAATGAATTTACATTATCTTCTATGGATGTAAAAACTGTTTTAAACACTTGATGATGTTTCTTTTTTTTAGTTTTAATGAGTTGTTTTAAGCTGTACTAGTTCACATTTTTGTACAGATATTCTAGATTCTTTCAAACCTTAACCTTATGAGCCCAAAATGAACAAGTCAATTTAAATAAAAAGTAAAACCTGTAAAATGCAGAAAAATAAACAAATAAAGTTGAAAATTCCAGGAGCACACCTTCATATGGTGAATAATAAGTGTGCAAATTATTCAGCGATAAATCCTTGAATAGTTTGTGTAAAACTGCTGCTACAATTGCTGGATGAAAAAATCAAAAAAATGCATCCATGTAAAATTCAATGAATAATTTCCCCAATCAATATCCGTAAATTGGAAACGCACACATTGATATATTGAATAATATTGTATAAATGACCCTTGAATTTTTTTGGAAATCATTCAATGATCTCGTTAAATGACCAGACAATGGTTGACTTTTCAATTTGCAACATTGATTTTTATCACAACACACTCTAAAATCGAAAAAATAATACAAGAAGTTGATGACATTAAACTTTTATTCATAGACCCACTGATATCAGGTTATTTTGATTTTCTTGGGTATAAATAATTTTAATTTGTTTAATAATAAAATACATTGCTTTCTAAGATAATGTACAAAAGTGTTTCTTGGCTTTACAAAAAGAGCCAGATCGAGAAAATATTGTTCCATAAGTAACAATTTCTAGAGTACGATGACACCATTATACATAAAAGAACATTTAAACTGTTAGGGGGTTTCAATGATTTCATACTAATGAAATTAAATTTAATTACCCTGTAAACAAATATTTTGGACTAAAAATAATCACAAAGTGATGAAATTACTTTCTGTGATTTTGACACCCTGACTCTCCCCGCCACAGTTTCGGAGAGGAGAGCCGACAAACCGTCTCTGCCATTTCTTTTGTGCACTAACTGTAAGTGGCGCAAAGACAGGTCACTACCTGCAATTTTTCTGGCCATTCCAGCAGTTAAGATTTTTCGGTTCACAAGCACTTGAAGGCTAGGCATATTTCTTTTGACCACTGAATTATAATCAATAGATTTAGTGACATAATCTACTGAAAATTCACAACTAGGCTTGTTGATAGAAGATATAGAGGGCAAGTTCGCAATTTTTTTCAAAGTTTTGACGTCTTCCAAGGCATTGTGCGCTTCATAAGTAAAGTCCTCAGCCAGTAAAACTTTGCTTAAATGTTGTTGAGAGTAGGATTTCTGAGACGGGAAAGAAAGTTTAAAAAGTTTCATAGTATCCAGAAATCCAATAACTTCTTCTTCAAATCTGTCTTCTATATTGCAGTTCCTCAAAGCATTCATAATAATGGGGCAATCATATGATTTTATATTATGTCCAACAAGAATCTTTGGTTTCTTAGATGGAAGATTGCCAAGGAAGGAAATGAGATCTTGTAGAGCTTCTTGAATGGGTACTGCTTTAACTGCTTTCCCATTGTGATGCAAAGTTGTACCGTTCAATGCAAGGCCCGTTACTTTGGATGCTTGTGTACTGATGGGCTTTTGGGGAATCACATATGTACAGAAATATTCATCACTGTCTTCATCTAAAGCCGCAATTTGAGTAATGTGGGAATCCCGCTCTGAAAGAACATTAAAATTCAATATCTACATTCGCAAATATATTTTCTGTTTATGAACCTACAAAAAGCTAAAAAGTTCAAGTCTATGTAAACTTTTTATGGAGTCAAAATGTCAAATTTATGATGTTAAACTGAACGTTGTGTGTTCATAAAAAATCATGTTATATAATTCAAACAAAAACTTTTTATATCCAGAAATGGTCATATCCTTTTCTCTCTCAAAAGCATATATATTAAGTAAAAGATAGCAATACTTTGCCCTTAAAATCAGAATTTGATCACATGACCAACAGAATTCATACATCTGTAAACTTTTTTATAATGCCATTGATTTCCTAAAGATATAGACACTGTATAAATCAATAAGCCAATAGGAGAGAGAGATAGAAAGAGAGACAGAGAGAGAGAGAAAAATGGATGGATGTGACATTATTATGCCCAGATCGATGAAAAATACTTTCAGAAAAGCATAAAACATTCATTTACCAAATCCAGTTGCTTCTAGATCAAAGTACACATAACTTCCAGAACCCACTGGTGGAGATTCTAAAGGGGGGTAATTTGGAGGAGGGATGGCTTCCACATCATCTACTTCTAGATCGTTAAACTCAACACCTGGTTCATAGGTGGGTCCTTCCCTAACCTCAGCTGAGGTTGATTTGCTTCCCCTGGAATTTTGAAATCATGTATGAATTTTGATCAATATATCTTTCAATAAATTTTATATTAATCATGTTAATAGGACACTAAATATTTTTTCTTGATTTTTTTTTTTTTTTTTTTAGATTTAGAATTAACCCTTAAAGATTAACACCTTTCCAACTTTCGCTTAAGTCTTCTTTTTCTTGCCTCTCTGGTATTAGCTAATGCCTTTCTCTTGGCTCTTCTGATGTCATTAAGAATTGCTCTTTGTCTGGTAAATTTACCGGGGGATAGGCCAATGTTCTTGTGTACCTGTAAAAATATGATAGAGAATTAAAAACAAATTTTTGTAATCTGATCCTAAATATCAGTTACTTTGTTAACATTAACTACATGTAGTTTTAATATAATCAGCAAGATTTTTATTGTTCTCATGAAAGAAAAAATGAGAATATTTAAAATATTATTTATGATTACAATTACAAAAAATTTAATTTGACCTCGTATGACATTAACAATGTTTTTATGACTTGGTTCAGACTTCCATTCATAACTTTCAACCCCCCCCCAAAAAAAAAATCAATAAATAAACAACATGTGTAATTGTCAAAGAAAATGATCAAAATTTATTAGAATAAAACATATGAATATTACCTTTTACACAAATATTTAAAATGAACATATGATTTTTTAACAAATTATGTTTAAATCCAATATTAATTTTGCACTGGATTTGTATGATTAAGTTTCAAATTCAATAATTAATTATAAAGCAAATTTTATTTTATAAGATCAAAATTTTTCAAATAAAGTTTTTATGACAGCAGACAGAATTCAATCAGAGTAGCTCACATTAGGGTCTTCAACTGTGTTTTAATCAACTGAATATATTATAATGAACACAAACTGTTGGGTAAACTGAAAGACATGCATAATGAATATTAAATGAATTCCATGCATGCATCTTACTTTCAGCAGATATTCATGCCCCTGATTTTTTTGTGCTACTGATGAGGCAACCCGGTAGTTGAGATTTGCAGAGGCTGATAAATGCAGGGACTTTGGTGCTTTTGAAGACACAGTTTTATTAAAGGCTTCGTTTCCCTGCGTACTACCAAGAAAAGCCAGTTTTCTGCACTGTTTCCTGTATGCTTCAAAAAGCTGTTCCAAAGCCAGTCTCAGTGACTCACATGACAGGGGTTTTCCAAATGGCAAAGACTTGTATCTGCTCTCTGGGTTTGTTTGAAAGACACACCATGAGGTTCCACTACAGCAGTCATGATTTCCAAAAGCATGTTTGGTTATTGCTTTTAGAGAAATATCAAGGCCCTCTGGGTTTCCCTTGTTTTGAGATAATGCATAATTGAAACATTTTGAGATATATTTGATTACTTTAGCTGAGAGAGATTTGTGTTGTTTTTGCAAAGAGAAAAGAGCTGATGAAAAGTTTTTTCGCACATGATTCTTGTCAGATTCTTTTGAAATGTCTATGGATTCTGCTCGCAAGCGACATAAAGTAGCAGCATCATCATCTGCAACTAATGTGCCCATTTTGATTCCCTTCTCATTCATGTCCTTAACCATTGACACCACCATGTCTGATTCCATACTTTTAGCACTGCCCTCAAAATTTTTTCGACAATCATGGGCACCTGGTTTCAGATTGGACTTTGAAGCATTTTCACACACACGGCAGGATTTTGAACGCACTGCATAATTAATAACTTTACCTGTCTCTGCACCAATCATAGAACAATGGCCTAAAATATGGATGTTTAAGCTTTTTCAATATTTACAAAAAAAACAGTTTTTTATATCATATGTACCGGTACATAAAGAGCTAAGGCGCCATGCGCATCTCTTGCCTACACAGTTTCTGAAATGATCATTCTTAAAACACTTTTTAATCCAAACTTTTGTCATTTTAATGTTTTTTAATAATTTTAATACTAATCAGGGATTAATTTTGATCAATTTGAACCAACATCAGGGATCGACACTAACTTTTAAACCATAGGTCAGCCATTTTGAATTTCTACGCATCTCTTGCCTACACATTTTCTGAAATGATCATTCTTAAAACACTTTTTAATTTAAACTTTTGTCATTTTAATGTTTTTTTTAATAATTTTAATACTAATCAGGGATTAATTTTGATCAATTTGAACCAAAATAAACATATATACACTAAAGAAAATGACATACAACCTAAGGGACATAATGACACCAGTCAAAATGTGAGCAAATAATGAGAAGAAATGTTGTAAAAACATTTTTTTACAACATTTACATGTAATTGTATTATCAAAATATATGTTTAGGTTAATACACATACCAGACAGACTGTCATATGAGCGACCACTGCCCCTCTTTTGCCAGCCTGCATCGACACTAGCAGTGATAGCATCTACTCCATGCTTTCTAAAATTTGAAAAAAAAATATGAATACTTTTAAAAATTTTGTATTAATTGGAATGAAAACCAATCCATTTACATATATGTATGCAGCTGTAATCAATTTAATTTCATTTATGTACTCATTTCTAGATTTAAAAAAAAAGATATATTAATTTTATATATATGTATATAACAAAATCAAATTTAATAAATTACTCGTGTGTAAGCAGTCTCTCCTCTGAAATTGCCTCTTGCATAGATTCTTTGGCGATTTCCTCCACTGAAAGTCCGGCTTCTTTCATTCTATTGGTTATCAATTTTTCGCTTACAGGTGGTATGTTGATAGCAGCTAAAAAATTGTTGACTTGTGAAGCATTCATGCCTGTGTGGATCATTGCTGCAAGAATTCAATAAAGATAGCATTACTACCAGTGTATACATATATACCGGTACTATTTACTATAACATGTATAATTACACAAATAATGTTGAAAATCCAATGTCTTCAGCTTACAATTAAAATGCTTAAAATTTGAGAGTGATTCATGGTTATACTGTTAGATGCAGTTATATGTAAATACTCAAATTCATCATTTTGTGAAAATATTTCTAGGCCATAATGATTTTAATACATCGATTAGAAAGAGAGAGAGAGAAGAGGGTAAAGAGAGAGAGATAGATGGACAGACACACAGAGGGGCTTGAGAGAACATTTTGGCATATACCGTTATATAAAACAATTGTAATGTACATGACATTTTACATCATCTGTAATTTAGAAGTTTAAAAAATATGATAACATTAATAAGGGTGCAGTGTGAGGGAACTTTAATTAACTTATATCTACATGTATCAAAATTCTTAGTTTCATAAGAACATAATCAATGCAAACAAATAACACTATTTTACCTGTAGCTAGCTTAGTGTTGACATCCCAGACCCTGCCATGTTTCTTTCCAGTCGGTATTTCATTAATATGATGGCAATTGGTATTGCTACAGGGCACTAAAATATTAAAATAATACAGATGGCATAACTTTTTATTAATAATAAATTTATTCCTTATTTATTTCTGCTAAAATGATATATTAGTACAATAAATGACAACTTGCAATAAAATTGTCTTCGAGATAATTAATAAGGATTGAAAACACATACACTGTATATATATGTCATTATATGTAAACATGTCTACATGAACAGTGTACCTTGTGATTTTTGATCTGTGCATGATATAAATATATACTCGATTCTCATTATATCTTGCAATTCCAAAATTCGGATACATAGCCTATATTCTTTTTTGTTGATGGAAATCTATGTCGTCTGAATGTTTACATGATTATAATATTTGAAAAAAAATATTCATAAAAAACGGATTTCCAGTGCCGTTTTTATTAAACACATACATTTATAACTGTATATATATGTCATTATATGTAAACATGTCAACACAAACAGTGTACCTTGGGATTTTTTATCTGTGCATGATATAAATAATACCAGAGACATGCTTTTATATGTCTCTGATTATGATAATACATTCATTTCCATCTTATTCCTGATTTCAAGATAAAACAAAGGACTTATATTCCCTATATACACCATACATGTGCACTCTTAAAAGTAACAATTAATACTGAATAATAAATATTTCTATGAGATAGATCAGGATGCAGCTAGTTTAATATGTCATTTCTAAAATTTATGTGATGATCAAAGCTAGAGTAGGGATTAAAGACATTAACTTTGTCTCATGTATCCTCATATAAAATATGTATTGATTATAAATGATTTTTGTAAATCAATTTGTTTTCCTGTAATAATTCCCGCATTTTTTTTTCTTAAATAAATAATTATAATACTAGTTATATAATACATATATTTGATCTCTGTTAGGATCTGTACTTACTGCATGTACATTGTACACATGTTGCGCAACCCGCTGACCTACATTGTATACACTCGTAATATTTATACGAGTTGATAATCGGACAAATACCTTTCAAGAAAGCCCCCAATCCGTAGGTGATGATGCCAACACAATGGGACAGGTGTAACGGTATCCCACACTCTTCACACGACCGTAAGCCATCCGCCAAAACACTTAACTCCACGACACGCCTCCCCTTTCTCCAGTCTATGTCGGTGCGAGGCTGTGAGTGGTCAATTATGACATCGTCTGCGACATCAGACAGTGTATAGGGGGTAGAAACCGGATATCGAGAACGTTGAAAATAATTATGCTCAGAAAAAATAGAAAATGTCGACCAGCGATCTTGTAAACTGTGTAAAATATTATCAAGTTTTCTCTGTTGTTTTTGGCTTTTAAAGCCGATGCCTTTTCTTTTGTTTACTTTACCCATGGTGACGCCATTTGTTTACCTCTCAACTTAATGTCGTAAAATGTATTAAACAAAAAAAAAAAGAAGTTAAACAACGACATATAAGTTTTATAATGAGTAAACATGTTTGTGAACAAAATTGTGTTATATATTTTTATTGAATTTATTGTTTTATAAAATAACATCAGCGTCTTACGACAACCCGCTTAGTTGGAAGTTCCGGTTGCGCGGAAGGTTTAAATCGTGACGTTCGAATTTTGTTACTGTGACGTCATCCTTGTAAACTAATCTGCACTGAAAGCTATCAACAGATCACATAACTTTATTGATCTAACAGTGTAAATTGTTTATGAAATAAACAGTTTCTTGAAGATACAAGTATTTTATATCTAACTGAATAAAATGCAAAGACATTTTATTGATATTATTTATTTATCTACATTCTAAGTAATCAATATTTCCTTTATGTTCATTTCCTTTATAATTGCATTGTTTGAATTAGAATTACAGTTACTGGCATTGAAAATGTCTAATTTTTGAATCGGTATAATAAAACAGTTAAAGTATATCATTGAGGGAGTCAGCAGGTTCCAGTTCCCCTCGAGCAAGCCTATTTCCCTAGGCTGGGCCTCGGAAAATAGACCTGTTCTTGGGGAGCTGGAATCTTGCTGACTCTCTCAATGGTATACTTTAATTGTCTCCCGCTTTGGCAAAAGCAAGGGGACAATAAATCTCATTCGTCTGTTTGTCAGTCTGTCTCTCTGTCTGTCTGTCCGTCCGTCACAAAAACTTTAACCTTTCCCATAACTTTTGATTAAGCGGATCTATGACTTTCATATGTCACATGTGAATTTCTTGTGACAAGATCTTTTTTGGGGTACTACCAAATTTGACCTTTTAACCTTGACCTTGGAGTTTAACAAACTTTTACACAAAAATTTTAAATTTTTACTTTGGCCATAACTTTTGAACAGTAGATACTAGGACTTATATATTTTATATATGTATTCTTTGTAGCAAGACCTCCTTTCATTGCATATCAACAAATTTAACCTTTTGACCTTGACCTTGGAGATTTTCGTACTTATGAAAAAACTTTGGCCATAACTTTTAGACGGTAAGGGCTATGGCTTTCATACTTCACATTATGTAATTCTTGTGAGAAGTCCTTTCATTGGATAACAAGAACATTGACATTCTGACCTTGACCTTGGAATTTGGCCCACTTTTTATACTTTTACATTGGCCATAACTTTTGAAGGGTTAGGGCTAAGGCTTTCATACTTCACATACATGTATTTAATCCTTGTGACAAGACCTTACATTGGATATCAAGCACTTAGACCCTTTGACCTTGACGTTTGATTTTGACCTTCTTTTTAAAAACTTTAACCTTGGCCATAACTTTTGAATGGTAAGGGCTATGGCTTTTTTACTTCACATATTTTTTATTCCTTGTGACAAGACCTTTCATTGGATAACATGATATTTGACCTTCTGACCTTGACCTTCGAGTTTGACCTACTTTAAAAAACACGTTGATCATAGCTTTTGAAGGGTTAGGGCTTTCATACTTCACATACTTATTTCTTGTGACAAAACCTTTCATTGGATATCACAACTTCGATCACTTGACCTTTGACGTATTTATGAAAAAAACTTTAACCTTTGTCATAACTTTTGAATGGTAAGGGCTAGGGCTATCACACTTCACATAAGTAATCCTTGTGAGAAGTCCTCTTATTGGTTACCAAGAACTTTGACCCTTTAACCCTGACCTTGGAGTTTGACCTACTTTTAAAAATTTGGGTACCAATATATTTAATTTGAATCTAAGAAAAGTTTAATCTTTGCTTTGTTGCCATATGGGGTCATCAGTGTTTCACAAATGCATCTTGTTCCTTTTAACTTTTGATTGAGAAACAATTTGTCATAAAAAATGACATCCCATCCACAAAGACACCGAAAGCGGGGGACCACAATTCTTTGAATTTGCTTGATGTATATTATTTTGAGTTTTCTGCGATTTAGTGATTTTTAGAGGGTCATGATTTTGTACGGCAGTTTTCTCAAAAAGCACTTAACAGAGAACTATGACATTTTTCAGTGATGCTAGAGCAACCTTTGCAGACGTGTTTTTGGTATATCATAACTACCTGAAGTACGAGGCGCCGACGCTCGCTATGGTCCGATAATAGTCCTATAGTGAATTTCAAAATTTCTAACACATTTTCTTCGATATCTTTTTACCTAGATATATTTTGTTAAAACATATGGAACAAAAGGCGTGTAGAATTACATGATCTTTCAAAGAATATCTTGCAAAAAGGACTTGCTCCTAATATAAGGGACCTAGTGGGGTCAGAAGTTTTTCCGTTTTATCTTTTAAATTATTAAGAATTTGTAATATATCAAATAAGAAAAGTTATTCAAAATGTCAAGTAGAATCCTATGAAGTCATCAAAATACATCCAGTGACGTCACTTCCGGCTATAGTGGAAGTAGTCAGAAAATGCAAATTTTGCCTTATTGACACGTTTTTAGGTAATATCTGTCACTGAAAGCATAAAACTTAATTTCCGTCCATCGACGCCACTTCCGGTCGAACCGGACGTGAAGGAACCGGCTTACTTTTGCAATTATCAACATAAATTTGGAGTATTTAAATCATTGGAGACGTCATTACTCTTTTTAAAAATAAATTTACTTTCGGTCAAAAAGGACGGAAGACCTATTCGTTGCTTTGCAACGAGCTTTGCTCTAGTTAAAGAGTATATTTTAATTAAGCCAATTATTTATTTGCATTAATGATTATAGTAATTGCAACTGAAAGATTTTTGGTGTTTTAAGATTAAAACACATGGGAAAAAATGAGAACGTTAAAGAGACACTAAATCAAAATATATGATCTAAAATAAATGTAATGTAATGAAATAGTTATTGAAATTACATGATATTTTTTCAGTGTAATTAAATAACAATAAAGATTGGTGTATATATGACATATTTACTTACTTGTACAAATTAGAAACAGATCTGTTAAAACCCAGAAAATTTAGTCTCATCCTAACCAAAATTTATAGTATACATCCTTTATTATTATTCTTAGGTTGATCTCTTATTACAAATTAAAGTTACTTAAAATAAACTTGCCAAAAATTAAAATAAAACTGAAAGTTTTTCAACCGATTGCAGAATCCGAAATATTACGGGACATCTGGAATCGAAATCACACATGTTGGTCAAAAGCCTTAGATAGGCAAATTTCCATTAAATTCTCTAGAAAAGGTATACAAAACAAAGAAATGAAATGAAAATAGCAAGCGTTTTGTCATATTCAACTCATCTATCAATTACCATAGTGTCACAGTTTTAAATTAAATTCACAGACAGTCCTCCTATATGTAAAAGAATTACAGAAATTAATAAAATACTTACCAACCCAATATATTAATATCAAAATCAAAAACATTTTGAAATTATACGTCAACCCTTATATTTTTTCGTCGATTACATCTCAGCAACAACTGGTCCTGCAATTTCTAACTACATAAAATATTAAAAGAGCTAGCGTTCAATTTTTCTTCAATATCAAATCAATATATGAAAATTTTGCTGGTACGGAATCTATATTTTAGCGCAGATGTACATGTTTGAACATTTTTTAAAAGCGCAAAGTCACATTAAAGATTCAAATTACACGGAATGTGAGCACGATCTCCATATCAGTCTCGGTCATCATCATATTTTACTCACTTTTAAAGGTGCATAGACACAGTTTTGAAGTTGCTATTTTCTGTATAATATCACGACTTATACGTATATTGTTATAGCATTTCACACGAAAATATATTAAAAATCTTATTTCATCTAAAAGTTACTGAAGCTTCAATTTTTGGATGGTTTGATTGATGCATTCTTGCACTTTCACAAATTTTAATTTCATTCTTAATACTTAGGAAAAGTGCGAATCTTATGTATTAATGAAAATACAAAAAACTATATATAGGCTGCTTCAAAAAATATGTTAAAACCTTTTTCTTTTTAAAACTAGCGCCGAATATCATATAACTATCAATTATTTGTCTCTTTAAATTCTGTGTATTTTCTTCTCCTGGCTTCACTTAAAGTGATGGATATAAAGGTTCTGTCTGTCTCTTAAATATATTGCATGAAGATTGTTTTATAATATGCATTTTGCTTATATTTAACTGCCTTGTCTGTATGTGAAAATAAGACTATTCTAAGATAGTAGAATAAGCTTATTTCTATCATATTCATTTTGTCATTTACAAGAGAAAAAAACCCTGTAAATCAAGACATGGTTACCTTGACCTTGAAATGTACCTACAGGAGTCTGAATTTGAACCACCGCAAGATCAGGGTATTTCCCCATGGAATGCTGCATTGTCGTATGAATGCAGTCATCTGTAAAAGGTCATATTGGTGTCCTCTTAGACCTTTTTAAAGTAAATATACATCTTTTTTTCTGTCAGGCTAATTTTAATCAAGTTTTTACCGGTTTGTTATCTTCTCTTACGATTAATGCCTCACTCTAAAAAAAGCCGTTGGAACCTGAAGATATTGCCAGGCTTTTGCTCGAACTAGAACGGAAATGTCAGTTCTTCCTATCTGAGCTGGTACAATCAACTTCTCCTGATTTCCTGCAACATATAATTTATGTAAAGGTTTTTTAAAAATTAAAAATAAGGCTTTTTGTTTTCCAAGTGTAATGAAAATAATTAGAATATAAAACTCTAGTCACAGGCGAAAACGAATATAACACCTTTATCCAGAATACATCAACGATTTCAATGACACCAATTAACTTCACACAGTTAAACTCAGTGATATTTCTACGTTGCTGGAGGATTCTCACTTAGCCCAGTCTGGTACTTCCACCACCCTTTCCAAAATAGAGGGAGTGGTTTATTTTTTGCAAGTCGTATATGGTACTTGGAAGAATAAGGGCTACCACATAGAGCCTTTTAGGTAATGTGCTATTAAAAAAGTCAAAAAGCAAATCCGTCTTCATGGTCAGCTAGGGCAATTCGTCTGCGACTTTATGGCCAACCAGAAAAAGGTCAACGTCTCGAAATGATATTGCCTAAGAAAAGTTTTCCGTAGTATATATATTTATATATTTTCATTTCCAATAAATTTCTCCTATGATTCTTTACAAAATAAAATGCAGTATATTTTCTCATGAACTACATTACATATGTACCACGAATCAGCATGAATATCTCCATTGTTACGTCATAATATCGCACTTGAGTCAAAGAATATAGTCCACACTGATTTGCTTTAAAAATGACAGTTGAATGGCGAATATTTATGGCAAGTCATCAGAAAATAATTTAAATATAAGAAATGAATTTAATTTTTGAAGATTCATTAGGTATATGAACTACAATGCTTCACGCCGGCATATTTATCATGAAGCGCTTGAAATATGCCGGCGTGAAGCGTCGTAATTCATAACCTCATGAATCTTCAAAAATTAAATTCATTTCTTAAATATAATAGCACCCAAGCCAAAAAGTCCACTTATACAACACAAACCAGGAGCAAAACGAATACAGGTCTCGAAAACATCACAGTCGGGTTAAGATGCAATTGAGTAGTGGGAATCCACTCGCAATTCGTCCACATCCGCCATGTGTTCCTTGTCAAAATCGGGAAATAACGGGAAAATCCGTCGATAATGGCCTAACGGTTAGTTTAAAATAAGTCAGCATTTGTCTTAATGATAGATTGAATTTGACCACAAGGTCATTGTATCGACCATAGACCTACAAAATGAAGATTTTTAACATAGAGCTCTAGGTCTATGCTTTTAAAGAAACAGTTGACATTCTTGCTCAGTTACTCGTAATATATCAAACCCAAACCACCATATAAGACACCTTCAGCGTCATCCGTCTGAGCGGATCCAAGCCAGGAAAGACCCAATCGTCTCTTGGTTTGACTTTTCGACCTTTACCAGGACAGGAAGGTCACCCAGACCGTGTGGAATTAATTTCCCAGATGTTGACAAGTCGGCTGTCATGGTGTTCCACTCACTTATAAAGCTTGGTGTGGTAGACATATACTCTGCCTCCGATAAACAAATATTGTTGCATATTTAATGTTTATTTTCATACAAATTACCCTCCTGTTAATTTAAGAATAAATAAACTTGTAGGGAATATATATTTATTCTGCACTTCACTTTATATATATATATATATATATATATTTTTTTTTTTAAATTTACAAGAACACCAAAGCGACTCTTTAAAGGATTACTAATTGTATTCTAAAACGATTTATTAATTCAGTTCAAGCTTATAAATCCAGTCCCCAGTAATCTGAACGCTTTACCGAAATATATATGGCATGTGTTTGGAAGCATTCGACTTTATATAATCAAATAAATTTAAGTAACCCGGAAGCTTCATTAATGTGGACAATTTGCTCCTGAACACAAGTGCCCAGATTAAGAATCTCGACTTTGATACTTACCAGAGGGAACAGAAATCCATAAAAGAACTATTTGTAATTTTCTCCAAATGTCTTCGTGTCCTCTCATTATTTTCCTTCGAAGACAACTAAAACTTGTGTTGTAACATGTAATTCTTAAAAGACTAAAATGACATTTTTATAATATTATTGAATGTCTTGATTGGATCACTTTGGCAATTTAAATTATATACATTAAAAGAATAAAGAGAAGGATAATTGTTAACATTCACATAACTAGGTGCGTATGCAAATGGTAATCCTGAATATGTAAAACCCATTTGCTTTTACAAAAAAGTGTCAAAAAAATCATTGAAAATATATTAAGTTCATTGACATTTTCCTAGACCGTCTGAATGATTTTGAACCATTTGTTTTAGTTTTAAGTGTATGGGAATCCGAAATAATGATTTCATGACACCCCTTTGTCTGGCATGTGTCTCAGGATCTATTACATCAGAAAGAATAAAGGCAGAGCTTTGTAACTAACACCTGATAGAATGCGACTTTCTCTTATGATCTGTTTCAGATATGCATGGATTATAAAATCCTCCCCTTGGGTCCAGCACACATGATTAGAATTCCAAATTTAGTTTGTAAGAAAAAAAATGAATTGAATGTATGGCGGATGTAATCATCAAACACGTGAGTATGATCTCCTTTTCAAAACGGAAGAAACAGGTACAACAACTTAACAAAACCAAAGAGAAAGACATTATTGAAGAATTCCTTATTAAATCCACGTCTGTATTGATATTAGAAGAACAAGTAAAGCAATCTACAAGGACATTCTACCAAGATTGATCACGTCACGTTCATCTTATTCTGAAGGGGATGAGCGACTCGCAAATTATTTTTAAGTTAAGATTATTTATTTTCATGCTAGTCAAGGACATTTTTTATTTTCAAGAAGTTCAAAGACAGTTAGATTATTGATTTATTATAATCACTAAAAAGTTTGACAAGAAAAATAATAAACTAATAAAGTGAAATACTATGTAAATTAAAAAAAAAAAATATTCAGAAACTTAATGACGTATGGATGATTGCATAGGGAATATTTTAAGATTTTCAAGGCGATAAAAATGCAAAGAGAAAAGAATGACTTTGCAAATGGAAGAAATCATGTATTGATTAATTTGGTACCCTAAATATGTTTTTTTATATAGTTTTTACAGATTTCTCTGCACAATTGAGAATGTTGATTTCATCAATTTTTTTTTCAAACCGAATAATTCATTTGTATTTGTTACTCTTTTATTTTCCCTTCATGAGAAAAAGTGAAGTTCGATAGTTGAAGACACCAGTCTAAAATTCTGTGTATAAAAGGTACATTCTGAAAATAAACTTTAAAAATATATTTAAATTATCCTCACACAAACATGTTGTCACCTAATAGTAATGAGTTAAATCTAGCTATAAATGCTGTTGCAAGGTTTCTGATCGAGACGCAAAAAGCTACCGGTATAAGGAAAAATTATTTTACCAGAACGGTTTTAAAATATATTTTAGTGATTGAAAAATGCACACACTATCACAGTTTACAAAAAGGATATATTAAACGAACATGAATCAAAACTTGTAGTTAGTTCGTAAATCAGTTTTTCATCGTTTACGGCAAGTTTTTCGTATTTTCAAGATCTATATATAAGCATTATACTTAGAAAATATAGCATTAAGAAATCATGAAAACTATCCTCTGAATTAGCTGTCAAAGGTCTGTTGATAGACGTATTGTTTTGAATACCAAATAGTATCAACATTTTTTCAAACTATTTTTGATTAAAATAGATAAAGAGTATTGTTTAATATAAAGCAATTTTGCTGCACTCCTGACTGCAGTATAATCTAAAATTAAAGCAAAGATCACAAAAAATGTTGGCAACATCAAGTGGTAAAGAAATTGTGCAATATCATTGTGCAATATTCATAATCCAATGCTCAGTGTCATATTTAAAAGATATAAACGTATTTCATATTTCGGTAAAACAAAAACCTT